ATGCGCTCCCAGATCCCAAACAGGGTCTGGCGCTCTGGTGGTCGTAGTGTCCCCTTGGCTTTCAGGATTCCCAGGAAGTACTGTGACGGGAAAGAATAGTTTTCTTAGTCTGTGGCAAGAGGAAGTTCCAACGTCGAGGTGCAGTCAGAAATTGCAGGCGTCGGTCTGAACTCCCAACCCTGGGGAAGCAAGGTCTGAGACCCTCTCACCCCCTCTCTGAGCCCCACTGTGGCCACCAGCCCCAGTTGCTCCTGGTAGCGCCGCTCAGTCTCCAGCAGCTCCCGAGCGGTGCAGACACGTTTCCGTTCCCAACGAGCACGCTGCTGTCGCACCGGGCAGCGCGAGACGGAGCCTGGGCTCTCCATGCCTGACCCAGGGTTCCAGGCTTCCTGCAGCGTCGCGCTGGAGATTCAAATTCCAACCGCTCGGGGGCGGGGCCGCGGAGGTGCGGCCGGGGAGCAGAGCGCGAACAGAGAGCATGCGCAGCCAGCGGCTAGCTGAGCGTCTGGTCGGCCAGTGTCCGCCCCGCCCGCCAGGGCGGCGCTATAGGTGCGCTGAGAGGTGGCGCGAATGCCAGGCGTGGCCGGTGTGCACAGACCGCTGCGAGGCGCGAAGGTGGCACAGCCGTCTGAACTCGGAGAGACTCCAAAATGCAGATGTTGACAGGGCCTCCGTGTCTAACTGCAGAATTGGGAATGTGGGGATAAGTACGGTACATATTATGTCCTGAGCCCATGTCAGACAATGAAGCGGTTGGCCAGTCATTCCCAGTGCTTTCACTAACTAGGAACCTTTGCGATTTAGACAAAAGTGAGCAAGTTTTAAGTTAATGTATGTTTCCTAATTTTATTTCATTTTTAGGCTTTTTGAGACAGGGTTTCTCTGTGGCTTTGGAGGCTGTACTGGAACTCGCTCTATAGACTAGGCTGGCCTCAAACTCACACATCAACCTGCCTCTGCCTCCCGAGTGCTGGGATTGAAGCCACCACTACCCCGCGTTCATTATATTTTTTGTTGAGATAGGGTCCTATAATGTAGGCTGGCATTGAACTGAATTCGAGGATGAACTTGATTTTATCCTCCTGCCTCCAGCTTCCAAACGCTGAAATTAGTCTTGCACTATCATACCGGGTTTATTTTTTATTTTATTTTAATTTTCGTTTTTCGAGACAGGGTTTTTCTGTGTAGCTTTGGAGCCTATCCTGGCACTCGCTCTGGAGACGAGGCTGGCCTCGAACTCACAGAGATCCGCCTGCCTCTGCCTCCCGAGTGCTGGGACTAAAGGCATGCACCACTAACGCCCGGCTCCGAGTTTATTTTTTTTAAGATTTTATTTATTTATTATGTATACAACATTCTACTTCCATGTAAATCTGCACACCAGAAGAGGGCACCAGATCTTATAATGGATGGTTGTGAGCCACCATGTGGTTGCTGGGAATTGAATTCAGGACCTCTGGAGGAGCAGTCAGTGCTCTTAACCTCTGAGCCATCTCTCCAGCCCCAAACCAGGTTTATAAGATACTGGGATGAAACCCACTTAAGCATACTAGGCAAGCACTCTACGGCTACATCGCCCGGTCCTCTTTTCTTTCTCTCTCTCTTCACACTGGTCTAAGTTTTGGTTTTGGTTTTTTTGTTTGTTTGTTTGTTTAGGGGGTTGTTGTTTGTTTTTTGGTTTGGTTTTTTGTTTTTGTTTTGTTTTGTTTTGTTTTCGGTTTTTGGAGAGAGGGATTCTCTGTGTAGCTTTTGGAGCTTGTCCTGGAACTCACTATGTAGACCAGGCTGGCCTTGAACTCAGAATCCACCTGCCTCTGCCTCCCCAGTGCTGGAATTAAAGCTAAAGCCAACATGGCCCGGCTAGGGTTTTTTTTTTTTTTTAATAATTTTTCTCTTATACAAAACATTCCTGCCAGAGTTTCCCTTTCCTCCACTCCCCTCAGCCCTCCTGTACCTCTGCTCTCCCCTATTCTGATCAAAGGCAAAACCTTTGATGTGTTTTCTGCATTACCTTATCAAAAGGAGAATGTAGCAGCCTTTAGTCCCAGCAAGCAGATCTCTGAGTTCGAGGCCAGACTGGTCTCCAAAGGGAGTGCCAGGATAGGCTAAAAAAACAAAAAAAAAAACCCAGCCCCGAAAAAAAAAAAAAAAAAAAAAAAAAAAAAAAAAAAAAAAAAAGGAGAATGTTCTAAATTTTCCTTGGGATTTTGAGTAATTGGGTATACCCATGTAAGGTAAATTGGCAGGGACATTTTGTCAATATGTATCAGGAATCTCTTTTTAAAGATTTTCATTTTTCTTTTTATTTATTTATTACATTCCAATAGCAGTTCCCCCTCCCTCCTCTCCTACCGTTCTCCCCTCCTACCCCCATCCACTCCTCAGAGAGGGTAAAGCCTCCCCTAGGATGTCAACTAAGTTTGTCCCATCACCTCATTGAGTCAGGACCAAGGTGCACCAACACCACCGCCCCATGACTAGGCTGAGCAAGGTGTCTCTTCATAGAGAATGGGCTCCACTAAGTCAGTTTGTGCATTAGTGTTAGATCTTGGACTGACTGCCAGTGGCTTCATATACTGCCTGAGCCACACCACTGTCACCTCTATTTCAGGGGTCCTAGTTCAGTCCTATGCTGGTTCCCCAGATGACAGTGCAGTCAGTGATCTCTCACTAGCTTGGGCCAGCTGATTCTGTGGGTTTCCCCATCATGGTCTTGACTCCTTTGTTCATATTATCTATCCTCCTTTACTTAGACTGTACTCCAGGAGCTTGGCCCAGTGGTTAGTTGTGGATTTCTGCATCTGCTTCCATCTGTTTCTGGAAGAGGGTTCTAGCTTCTCTGGGGTTGTGGATTGTAGACTGGTATCTTTTTGCTTTTTGTCTGGTATCCACTTATGAGTGAGATATACTATATTTGTCTTTCTGGATCTGGGTTACCTCACTCAGGATGCTTTTTTTCTAGTTCTGTCCATTTGCTTGCGAATTTAAAGATGACATTGTTTCTTACCGCTGAGTGGTGCTCCATTGTGTAAATGTACCACGTTTTCCTTATCCATTCTTCAGTTGAGGGACATCTAGGTTGTTTCCAAGATCTGGCTATTACAAATAATGCTGCTATGAACATAGTTGAGTAAATGTCCTTGCGGTGTGAGTGTGCCTTCTCTGGGTATATGCCCAAAAGTGGTACTGGAAAATCTTGAGGTAGATTGATTCCTAGTTTTCTGAGAAATTGTCATACTGATTTCCACATCAGCTGTACAAGTTTGCACTCCCAAGATTTTCATCTTTAAAAGCCATATGTTAACGTGGGAGAGTTTGTGTATATGGGAGTAACATATGTATATGCTGCTGGTATATATAAATGCCAGGGCCCAGAGTCCAGAAAAAGATGTCCCTGGAGCTGGAATTATGGACAGATGTGGCCACCTGGTGTGAGTGCTGGGAATCTCCCAGGAGCTGGAGTTTTATGGACAGTAGTGGCCACCAGGTATGGATGTTGGGAATCAAACCCTAGTCTTCTGGGAAAGCAGAGCACTCTAAACTCCCCAGCCATTTCTCAAACAGATACACAAATACTTTTAAAATAATAAAAATAAATATTTTAAAACAAGGAGTGGCTGGAGAGAAAGTTTATTAGTTAAGAGTGCTGGCTACTCTTCCAAAGGACCCAGGTTCAATTCCCACTACACACGTGATTGCTCACAACCATCTGCAACTCCAGTTCCAGGGGATCAGACACCCTCTTGTGACCTTCTCAGGAATCAGGCATGCATGTGGTACACAGACAGAGGCATGTCTTGTGCAGGGAACACTTTGATAGCACACACACACACACACACACACACACACACACACACACACACACACTATTTTTTTAAATATAAAAACATTCAGCCAGGTATGGTGGTACTCACCTTTAATCCCAGCACTTGGGAGGCAGAGTCAGGCGGATCTCTGTGAGTTCAAGGCCAGCCTGGTGTACAGAGCTAGTTTCAGGACAGCCAGGGCTACACAGAGAAACCCTGTTTCAAAAAACAAAAACAACCTTGTTCATAGTGAGTCCTATTCCCAACCCTCTTTTTTTTTTTTTTTTAAAGATTTTATTTGTTTATCATGTATACAGTGTGTGCCAGAAGAGGGCACCAGATCACATTGCAGATAGTTGTGAGCCACCGTGTGGTTGCTGGGAACTGAACTTGCAACCTCTGGAAAAACAGTCAGTGCTCTTAACCCCTGAGCCATCTCTCCAGCCCCTGTTTCCAACCCTCTTCCACCCACTTAAAAATACTCACAAGCTGGTCATATACTCAAACATACCCAAGACCAATTGTGCTACCACCTATTCCTTCTCCTTAAATTCTTTCATTCTCCACATGTATGTGTATACCTGCATTGCCATTCTGTTATCAGATGTTGTGTGTGTGTGTGTGTGTGTGTGTGTGTGTGTGTGTGTATTCTAAAAAACTATCAAAATGGGAAAACACTCACAGCAAGTATAATGGCAAGAGAGAGGAGAAAAGGCAAGCTACAGAGCTGCTTATTAACGTGATTCCCTCTGCATAAAAAGGTGTATGAAAGGCTGGAAGGCTATGTAATCAAAACCTAATGTGGCCGGGCGTTGGTGGCGCACACCTTTAATCCCAGCACTCGGGAGGCAGAGGCAGGAGGATCTCTGTGAGTTTGAGGCCAGCCTGGTCTACAAGAGCTAGTTCCAGGACAGCCTCCAAAGCCACGGAGAAACCCTGCCTCTGGGGGGAAAAAAAACAAAAAAACAAAAACCTAATTGTGGTTTTAAATCTCTGGGTGATGAGACTGACTATAATTGAACAAATGAGTGTCTACCTGTGCCAGGCAGTGAAATACTGAGGATAAAGATCTAAGTGAGAAGAGAACAAGCAGGGAGATATTTTAAATTCCCCAAGACTCTTCTTCATTTTCCCCAAGTTTCCTGCATTGAGCATGCACTGTTTTGTAATTATAAAATACATTTGAATTGGGAAACTAAATGTAAGAAGCATTAGACCCCATTTCTTCCACTTGGACTCTTAGGAATCTGGGCCCCAAGCCAAGAAGCAGGGTATTGCCAGGGTTCTAAGCTCCTCCAGCTCAGATATTCTAAGAATCCTGAAAATGTTAAATACTAGGCTTAGACCAGAGAAGAACAATGTGAAAGTCTTAGAGAAATGGAGAGTTTGAACCAGACTGTTTCTTTGGTTTGGGTTCAAAGAAAACTGATGACACCAGGTTAAGGGGCAGTGATGTTGTCTTAAGTGAATGGAGAGAGCCTGGCCTGGTGGCTTATGTCTATAATAATCCCAGTGTGTAGAAAGCTGAGGCAGAGGATTGCAGCAAGATTGAGGCAAGCCTGGGCCTCAGAGTGAGACTGTGTCTCAAAAAATCAAGACAAAAGGGAAGCAAATGAAGCTCAGATGAGCACAGATAATCCCATGTGGACCATGTAAACCTAATCAGTAAGACTAGAGTGCAGGGGCTGAGACATGGCTCACAGGCTAAAAACACTGGCTGCTCTTGCAGAAGACCTGGGGTTAGCTCCCAGGATCTGATACTGTCTTCTGACCTCCTAGGGCTTCTGCATCCAGGTGGTACTCATTCAGGTACACACCTACACATGGAGACTGAAAGAACTGAAGGACGAGGGGCTGGAAAGATAGCTCAATGGTTAAGAGCACTGGCTGCTCTTCCCAGAGGTCCTGAGTTCAATTCCCAGTAACTGCTTGATGGCTCACAACCATCCGTAGGGAGATCTGGTGCCCTCTTCTGGCCTGCAGGAATACATGCAGACAGGACACTACACATAATAAATAAATAAATCTTTCAAAAGGAGGAGGGAGGAGGTGATACAATGCCTGGGGCACAATTGGTTTGAGTATGTCACTAGCTTGTTAGTGTTTTTAGGTGGTTGGGAGTAGAACTCATATGAACTAGGTGGGAGCACTGTCTAATTGGTAGAAGAGGGCAAGGCTGAGGAGGCATACCAAGGACTCCTCGAAATGCATCCACTTCAGTTCCACTACACTGATAGACTAAATG